ACAGCAACCCGGCCCCCGGCTCAAAAAGGTTGCCTACACCTGGTTTAGCCCCTATGACATGCCTAGTATGGAGGGGGATGAACTGAGGTCTCCCAGAGTTCTAGTCCAACACTCAGCCTAATCCAACACTCAGACTAGGGTCATACTTTGTTAACTCTTTATAGTGAGCTGCAAAACAATTAAATACAGTTCAGAGCTGCCCATGATCCTAGTGTCAATCTAGTTCTATTTTTTTTTAATCAGCTTACCATTGTATGGTGTATGTCATGCCTTTGCTAGAATCTAGTCCAACAATCCCCAACCCATGACTCAAAAGAAAGATGTGCCCAAGGTGGGCTAATCTTCTTCCACCTTGAGGTGTCTCTTGGATGCTCAGTTTTATTATCTGCACTCTAATGCTCTCCAAATAACTGTTTCATGTTTAATGCCACCATCCAAACCAATTCTCCCAATTTTGTTTTTCTGTTTTTAGTTTTTAACAGATTTTATTAATAGCTTTGTAAACAATCAATATAATCAACACAAAATACATTATATAAGCCTTGGGGGTTTGTTTTCTTTCTCAGTGTAGGGTGTGTGTGAATAAAAAAAGGCACTAGGAACATGGTAATTTGAAAGTCCAAATTCCTGCCCATTCCTGAAGCAATCAATCAGAGCCCTATTAGGGATGGTAGATAGGCCAAAACAGACTGAGAAGAGGCTGGAACTAGAGGTGACATTTCCTTACTGGCTGGTCTGAGACAATGATATTCAAAGGCATGACATAACGCCTAATTCAGCATGTGCAAACATTTGCCCATTTAGACAATAAAATCCTATTATTATTGCTGTTGTGCACTTTTAAGTCATTTCCAATTTATGACAACCTTAAGTTGGCAATTTATGCCAACTCTATAATGGAGTTTTCTTGGCAAGATTTGTTCAAAGGAGGTTTGCCATTGCCTTCCCCTGAGGCTGAGAGCATGTGACTTGCCCAGGGTCACCCAGTGGGATTCATGGCCAAGTGGTGAATCAAACTCTGGTCTTCAGAATCATAGTCCAACATTTAAACTACTATGCCATGCTGGCTCTCAAATCTTGCTTACACTTTAATTGCTTGAGCTGCAATTGTGTGGAATTCTACAAGTTTGGAAGATAATTCAAGAAAGATTG